AAGTAGCCAGAATTACAGGAATGCACTACCATGCCCGGCTGATTTTTGATTTATTGTAGAGATGAGGTCTCGCTGCACAGGCGGGTCTCGAACCCGCGGGCTCAGGCACTCCACTTACCTCAGCCTCCCAAAGGCGCGGGATTACAGGCTGAGCCACCGAGCCCGGCTAACTTATTGTATTTAAACTGGATCCAAGAGCCTAGTATAATGTCTTGAATTTAGTTGGTACTTAAACAAAATTATTAAACACATCTTGCAATTCAGATATACTAAATTTATGGCATTTCATACTTCTACCATCACAGTATTACTATGCAAAATCTAAAAACTATTTAAATATCCTTACCTGTAGCAAAAAGGAAACAGCATAACTCAATAGAGAAGGGTGATAAACTAAACTTAAACTGTTTTTATATTCTGTTACTCCTGCTTTTTCTAGGATTTTGAGGTCAATAAGTATTCCTTTTTCAAAAGGTTTGGATGTCCACAGGCAACCGACCATGGCTGTTAAGTAGTAATTAAATTCTTGATAGGTCTTGCTGCTGAAATTGAACTCTGATTTTGCCTAATGGGAAATAAAATTGAAATAAATAAATAAAATTGTTATTATCACCTGCTTTCCCTTCCTGTCTTATTCTCAACAGGTCATATATATCTAGACTCAATTTTTAAACAACAGTGATTTAACACAGAGGTCTATCCTTCATACCTTTTGTACCAACTCATTTTTCTTTGCAGCAGTCAAATTTTGACGATACCTAATAAACAACAAGTAGAGTGAAATATTTAGCATGCCTTTGAAATGTAAAACAAACAAAAATGTATTTTAAATGTAAATATATGCAAATGTTCACATATACAAATACTCTGTTGTCTAGTTAATGTTTTTAACCTTTTGTGGTACATTCTCTTCAAAGAATAAAATTAGAAGCTTGGTAAGTTGTATATTTGAGATATGTACTTCACTCAATAAAAATTAAAGATGTTTTTAATGTCTATTAAAAAATTAATAGAGGCTCAAAATCAGTCAGTTGTTGATACAGAACATATTTTTGTAATGTAAAAAAAGTGCAGTAGAAAGGATAAAGGGGAAATTTAGAAATATAACTTCTTAAAAAAATCTGAGAACTATAATCTAATTAATTTCTAAACATTTTAATCTTGACATAGTCCTATAAGTTATGCCAAAAGGGCCTACACTCATGAATTGAAAAGAGTAATTTCAGTTCACAACTGAAAGAATTAAAGATCAGAAATAATATTTAAAATTTCACATAATTGGCAATAGCTCTCCTTATCTCCCAGAAAAAAGTTCATTTTACCAGAGAAGCTATGTACACTTAAAGCAGTTGTCAGCAAATGACTAATTTTTCCTTAAGATATAGCACTTAAAATGAACAACGCTGAGTACAACAGTGCCAGTGCACAACAATTCTTAACTATGAATTTTCTTATTCCACAACCATAGTGGTGAGGGATTTAAAAACAACACAGCTTTCATAGACCCATATTGGAAGGTCATACCCCAAAGAAAGTCATGTTTCCTGTTTCCATAGGCCCTGGCAGAAAATGAATAGAAAGTTGTACTGCATTATAGTTAAAGAAAGAATTATAATATACCACTTCATAAAATGATTTAAAAAAGCTTTGTACCTGTGCATAATATAGCACAACTGGTTCAGGATACTGGTATTCAGGCTAAGCAGTGCAGAATAGAAGATCCCAGGGGGAAACAACACCACTAGTGGAAGGTTATAATTTATATATATGTCACATACCTTTTGGAAAGAATGATAACATCAGTATATAGATTATTCCCCAGAAGTTCTCAACCAAGCTCACCCAAAGAATCAACAGTATAAGCAATAATATAACATTAGGTTTGAACCTGCAAAATTCCTAAATAAAACAGCTATCCACAAGCCTGCTTAAAATACCCTCACCAAACATCAACTTTACCACAGAGGCTTATTTCTAGAAGACCATTATTCAAATCTTTCATATTTTCTAGGGAAAGGTCTTAGAGTTAAGGGGGATAGGGTAGAGGAAGGGAATATTCCTTTCTCCCTAAGTCCCATAAATACTTATTTATCCCATTAGTTAGCTGTCAACCTGGAAAACAAAGGAACATGCTTCTAAGCAAATATATAATACAAGACAAATAGGTATTAGTAAAGGGAGGAAGCCAAGAAAATGATATTGTAATAGATATTTCATGGATAACAGTTCTGCCCAGGTTAAGTACTATAAAACAATAGAAGAGGGCCAGAATCACAAAAGTACTAGGTACCAGGAGAAATAAGGCAGCTGAAAGGTGGAAATGGAGATATGAATAAACAAGAAGATAGTTTTGGTTGGCCAGGGGTTGAGAATGTACAATTAATGAATAAAAAGTGATGTTAAAAACAGACTTCTGTCTAGAGCCAGCATTATTATTATAGATCAATGTCTATTAAAGTGATACCTGTAACCCCCCAAAAAGCATTTGTTTTTCCACTTTGTTTTATGAAATTCAGTTTATTCAAAATGTAAGGTTATTTTAACTATGCTCATAAGATCATAGCCCGCTTTAATGGTTGTATATAAAATTTAAATAATAAGCCATCACAAAAACCTAAATAGGGAAAATGGAATGTGTACTACCTTCTCATAGAAATCCAAAATAAAGTGCAGCAAGAAAGTACTGTTGCTCTCCAAGCGCATTGCAGAAGTGGACAGCCACCCTACATAGTGAATCAATTTAGACACAGAGTTCAGGGATCCACCCAAAGTTGTCTCTCTGCAATGAGAAGCCATAGCAGTCAGATCCAGAGTAGCAAAAGTGTTCACAATTTCCAAGCTAAAGCTGGATAACATACAGCAAATAGCTGATAGGAATTTTTTTAATTAGCAGTGTTCCAATGTATAACTCACTTCTTAAAAAAAAAATCACAGCAATTACTCATAAAACTACACTTAGCCCTCTAAGAAACCATTAAGATCATTTCATAGAACATTCGTAACAACCAGACTCTACTAGAAAATACCAGAGAAATAAAGCATTAAGCTCTAAGCAGATATAAAAATCCTTGAGTGAGAGATATTAGAAAAAAGCTAGAAAATGGGTATTCCAATAACAGTTAAGGGGAAAAAAAAGGTTCGTGTCAGTCAATGTACAATGAAAAATTCAGGATAAAATCTGAAGATGGACAATACAGTAACCACATCACAAGTGACTTAAAAGGATAAACATTAAAATGACTTTAGGAATTATTTCCTATGATGTCAGTAACACTGCAACATGCCAACTGAAAGAAACTGAGTACACAAATTAAAAAAACCAGTCTTGCCTGAATTCCTGAGCTAAAATTCTGTTAAAAATATTTTCATGGGAATTCAACTGAATTAGCAAAATTTTTGGCATCTTTTATTATTCTAGTAAAAACCATATCTGGATACTGTATGTCCTCCCAAAATCAACGAATGGAATCTCTTTAAAGTACACACGGGTATAATTAGTTCAATCCATCCATCTACCCATCCCTGTCCTTCAACTCACTGTTAAGTGGATTAGGAAAAGACCTATAAATGTGAATTCATAGCTTTACCCTCCTATCTAGGTAATCAACAATGGCTAGGCACAAGGAAAAAGGAATAACATATACAGTCTTAAAGCCTGAGAGATGATGATGACTCTACCACTACCCACCAACATGATGGTTCAGTGCCACAGCAATCAGGGGTGGAACAGGAGACCATTCATATGGGCAGGCATCTACAAAGTCAGCTGACTATGTGCAAAACTATATCTTAACTATGTTTGGCAAGCTCACATTCAACCTTTACAGCTCCAACTAGCATCATTTCTACATGATTTTTAGCAGCACTTGGCAAATGTGTCTGAAAGAATTTGAAACAGTGATGATTGCTCAGAACAACCTCTGTTGAAGTGTTTCTCCACAGGTCACTACTGGCATTTTGGATGAAACAATTCACTGTTCAGGACTGTCTCCTACTCCTAATCCACTGTATCACATTGAGAAGCCCTGGCTCACACCTACTAAATGATGGTTGTACCTTCTTTCTAGTCACCGTGACAACCAGAAATGCCCCCTGAAGAACGGTTTTCTACCTATCTCTTCTTGTGATCTATAACTATAGTTCACTCTTTTTTTTGACAGTCATATGGTACAAATCTTATGATGAAAATAAGGCAGTACACTTGTATCACCAAAATAAAAGGAATTATTGAGAACTTGAAAAGTATAGTGTATAATGTCAAATATTATTATGACAAGCAAAATTATCTACATGTATGCTTTCTAAGAATTTTAAAAAGCAAAGTTCCTTTTTAAATGTTCTCCTCTAATTTATGACACTAATAAAAAAGAAATCCTAAGAGTATTTGAAAGATAATATAGAAATTATAAGGTACCTGAGACTTACATTGCAAGTTGGTCAAAGACTCTAAATGCAAGCTTACTAATTTTGGAATTGCTTACTCATCTGGGGGAATGGAAAACTAATAAATTTGGGTCTATGTTCAGTAGCCCACAGGGGGAAATGCAGGTTAGGGAGAACCACAAGTAAAAGAGATGAATTTCAAACATACTACAGGTAAGTGACCTACATATGAACCTTCAAGTTACAAACTTTAACAATGCACACCTTTTAAAAAAATGTATTATTTCTCTCCACCAGATGACAGTATAGCCTGTTAAATACATACAGTATCATATAGCCAATTGTGTTAGTTGAGTACCTAGGCTAACTCTGTTGGACTTAGAACAAATGGACTTATGAACACGCTCTCGGAACCAAACTCATTCATATGCTGGGGACTTCCTGTATTCCTAATGCAATTTACATGGAAGAGATTGAATATTTAAGTGGAATTTCTTTATAATACTGGTTCTCAAACTTCAGCTTGCATCAGAAGTGTCAAAACAGATTACTGGGCCCCCGCCTTCAGAGTTTAATTCAGTAGATCTAGGGCAAAGCCTGAGAATTCGCATCTCTAACAAGTTCACAGGTGATACTGATGGTTCAAGGACTACATTTTGAGAAGCACTCCATTTCCTTCCAAAAGTGATCAGATATATATAGAAACAATGTGATAATGAATATAAAGAAGTAAAAACAATTTTCTAGGCTATCCTCAAAAAGCTTCTATTTTCCACTGTCCTACCAAAGTAGGAAATCACTATAGGGATGAGAACATACAGAAAAAATGAGTCTGGACTAATCTTTTAACCAGGCTAACCACCAGCTATTTGTAACTGAAGCTAAAGGGAATTTGATCACTGGTTAGCTATTTGAAGATAAAAGAACTATTACTTTCTTAGGTAGCATAATGGTACCATTTTTTACAGTTTAAATGGTATCTTGGTTTTACTTAAAAATAATCCAGGCCAGGCATAGTGGCTCACACCTGTAATCCCAGCACTTTGGGAGGCCAAAGCAGGAGGACCACTTGAAGCCAGGAGTTTTGAGGCCAGCCTGGACAACATGGCGAGACTCCATTGCTATAAGAAATAAAAATAAAAAATTAGCCAGGTGTGGTGGTGCATACCTGTAGTTCCAGCTACTTGGGAGGCTGAGGCAGGAGGAGCCCAGAAGGAGCACAAGGGAACAAAGATACAGTGAGCTATGATAGCACCACTGCACTCCAGCCTCAAAACAAACAAACAAACAAACAAACAAAAAACCAGGAGGAAGGTGAAGGGTGTTGTAGAAGACAAAAAGTTAACCACAAGTTGGTAGCTGTTGAAGCTGAATGATGGGTACATAGGGATAACACTGCACTATTTTCTCTACTTTTGATTATGTTTGCAATTTTCTATATTTTCGAATGTCAAAAAAAAAAATGTGAGTGATAAAAGAATATAGAAGAAGCCACAGATTTTAGGTAGAATCAAAACAACCTGATTACAACGGTTCCTTGAAATACAGTTTTTTTACTTTCACTTTGAATGTAAAGCACACATTTTCAGGGATTTTTTTTAACTTCAAAGTAAAGACAAATTAACGCATATAACAAAATATAGCATAGGAACATAAAACCAAAGTTGTACAGCAAAATTACCTTAGAGATTTTTCTAGCCATCATTAAAATTGGCTTTACATATAAAAATACATTTTACAAAGTGAGTTAAACTAAATGGAAGTCCAAGTTGCAAATTCTAATCTCAGCTCTCCAGTGTTTTGCTATATTAACTCTAGCAAGAAGTCACTTAGAGGCTAAGGGGTTTCTTTCTGATGCATATAATTAGGAACTTGGAGTATAAACCTTTCTCTCAAGATTGTGGGGAAGAAGAGTAAAAAGTTGCAAAGAAATCTTCCAGAAAAATACTACTAAGGTTTTATAAGAAAAAATTAGGTCTCATTCCACACAATTGTACAGGTGCAAACAATTCTATATAGATAGTCTCTTGTGGAAGATTATAGGATAACTCACAGAGGACTGTTCACCACAGATTTCATGTGGATATCCATAGACAGCCACAACAGCCAATTCTGCAGTAGCTCTTTCAGACTCTGAAGAACACTACACTGAGGGGGGCAAAACAAAAAAAGAACTCATGAAATCATTCAGACATAACATTGTTCAGAACTATCAGAGGTAGAAGAAACCATGGAGATGACCATATCCAATTTAAAACCCAACAGTCGTTACTTCAACATGATCGGTCTCCAGGAGACAGATGAATGCCAAGTCTGTTTTGCCACTTTCTCTACAAGGAATGTACCTTCACAGGACTGCCCCTACTTATCAAACCTAGGAACAGACTTCTCTAAATTACAGTCAGTGATAACAAGTATCACATCATCAAATAAAACAGCACCCTTATTGACCCATCTCAGAAATTCTTTGATGTTGCTACAGATGAATTCCCTGTGCTTTTTACCTTGTAGTCTACAACTACAATTTACTCCCTTTTTGACCATCATAAAAATTTATCTTCTGTGACTTTGGAAAACAATTCTAGTCTTTCCTTTCTCAGACCTTGCCTTGATTTCCTAGACCTCATTCACATACAAAAAATATAGTCATGATAGAAATTTATTCATGATAAACCATATTATCTATAAACCAGATTATCTAACCAAATTTATGATGATAAACTATAATACCTATAACTTTGAAAGCAATCCATATCATCCCAAAATCTAATACAGAAAGCCTTTCTTAAACAATCTTAATAAATAATAGCCAAGTTATTATTTGAGTATTTCCAGTGATAGGATGCTCACTGCTACTTTACAGAACAGTTCAATTAACATTTTTTAAAGAAATTGATATCTCACATCCAGATTAGAAATATGTTCAAGTTGAAAGCAACTCTGGAATCATCCAAGACAAGTCTGCTTCAGTGCCAGCCAGGGAATATTATCATTTTAAAAAATTCAATATTATGTTATATTTAGGAAAAAACTTTCATTTGCTATCCACCCACCATACCCTTGCCCCCACATGAAAGGAAGAATGAGATTTTTATGTTTATAAGCAGGAGACATGGCTTTAAAAAAAGGTTGAGAAACACAGCTCTACCCTACGTGTGAACCTTTTCTACATAAATATCCCCAAGTAGACAGCCATTAATCCTCTGCCTAACATACTCCATTGTCAGGAAATATACGACCACCTCTGAAGTTCCTTTAGTCTACATATTTTGAGTCTGCTCTACCTGTTATAAGATACTACCCTTATCTCTGTCTCTTACAGTCACACAGAAACCTTCTCCTTCCACGTGACAACTTTTCAAATATTTGAAGGGAACCAGAAAATCTTAGGTATTCTTTTTCCTTCAGGCAAAATATCCCTAATTCCTTTACTATCTCAAGCTAGAAAGCTTGAAGTCAACTTGTGTCCCTTCATACTTTATTTCCAGTCACCAAATCCTATCGATTTTTTCCTTCAGAACGCCAATTTTATTCATTCCTTCCCAGTCCCCTATAACTACTTTAGATCAGGTCTTCACACCTCTGAGGTCACGTTATCCTCCTAGCTCGTCTCCCTTACTCTAATATCACCCACAAAACCCCAAATCTTTCTCCATGGCTCCTAGATTCTTGTTTAAGTACTCCATCCATCCTCCTTCTTCCTTTTACTTGTCTTTGAAAAGCTCACCCATTTGTTCTCTTTCTCTCTCTCTCTCTCTCTCTCTCTCTCTCTCTCATTTTTCTCTGTGGC